GACTATTTTTTAATTTTTTTTTATTTCAGTTTGAATAAAAAGCCGAAACCTTCGCGATTGAAACTGTGATCTCTGATTTATAAATACAAATTGCTTTAATTTAGGGTTATCGACTCTGAGTGGGCCAAGTGTTTATTTTTATATACGATAACTGCGGGAGGGAAAAAAGCAAATTTAAAGATTTAAGGGGGAAATGCGTTAATGTCGCGAAACCTGAACTGAATTCCATATGCTGAACCGCGTCCCGGGTCATTCAGAGCCGTGCTGGCACTGCATCTGCTTGACAGGCTACATTTGAAATACATATCTGGGTGTTTCAGGGTCTCCTCTCTCGGTATTAATTGACGTCGGGGTTTCAGTAACGGTGTAGCACAAATGTGTAGCTTGCGGGGGATGTGCCAGGCCGTCTCCAGATTTTCTATTTTTTTTAATTTACATGTTTTTTCCTGCCAGGGTCCGTCAACGATATCGGCACTGTTTTATTTATTTATTTAAACATTTGTATTTTAAGTTCCCTTTTATGGCAGAGAAGAAGAAGAAGAAAAAATAAGTGGTAGCAGAAGAAGAAGAAAGTGATGGCGCAGCTTTAATTGCTTTGGCTCTTATTATTGGGGCCTGGGTGGTTTTGAGCCAGAGAAAACGGTGGTTAGAAAATAAGCCGTGCCGTTTACTGGGTAGATATCGGTGTGTTTATGAAACTCGCTGTGGGATAGTTTGTCCCTTTAACAGGCATTTGTTTGGTCACAGCAGCGGTTTTTTCCGGGGTCTTTTAAGGGGACGGTTATTTGAGGTGAAACGACGCAAACTGGTACGTTTGAAGCAGAGCATGTATTTCGTATTCATATTTTTTTTAATTATTATTATTAGTAATAATTAATAAATAAAGTAATAATAATAATATCACTGAGTAAACCCCGTCACCTCCGACTGCTAATTGATAATAGGCTAATAATTAAAGCTAAAGGCCACGCGCATGTGGTCCTAATTTAATTCCCGGGTAAGAAGATTAACCCCGAGACACTTTCCATGATGGCTTTATGCCGCCTCGATAGACCTAAATAACCATATAGATTCTTCCAACACAGCAACATGAAGATTACACAATATAGGCGTAGTGTGGAGCAGCAGATAGTGCAGACATGCAAATGGGAGGCACGGGGTTGCCCCCCCCTTTCAAAATCTGGGACTTTAGAAAATTCTGCAGTTTTCTTCCTGAAAAATAAATATGCACAACATAAATATGTTTTTTTTTTCTTCTACTTCTTCAGCAAGTGAAAGGCAAACAGCATAGCGAAGACAAAATGACTTAAAACTCCTTGTAGTCAAATTTCACTGACATTTGAATGGTGGTTTATTTGCATTTTGGCAAGGTCACCCAGAAAACCTTAATTCCCACTGAAAAGCAGACACACTGGAAAATACATTCAAGTGTCAGTTATCTCCTCCTGCTACACTAAGTTTGTGCAGGTGGTGATGGATGCAAATATATCTTGACAGTGATGCCAAACACAGTCATACTCCACGGTGAGGTTCTTTTGTTACGTTATCCAGCGATATATCAAACTTTTGGCTGATTGGAGATAAATGTGGAGGTGTGCCGTCCTTCGCTGTGTTAGCAGATGATGGGTGAGCGTCAGTGTTTCATTACGGGCTCTCATTGCTGTGTGGAGGATGTTCAGCCTTGACAGAATGGTGCGATTGTATGACCTTTGACAGTCTGCGGGCCTCTTCTCATGAAATCATCATTTAAAGACTTGCTAGAACTTAAAGTTGACTAACCGTGGTCTTTTCTTCAATGCTTGTCTTGTAACAGAGGAATATATCAATTTAAATAATTGCTGAAGGCACCCGTTTAAAGCTGTAACTATCAATTGTTTCCGTTTGATTTTGTCTGTTAAAGCCAGAAACTGTCAAAAAATGACCATTAGAAATACTCGAATTTCTACTGCTTGTGCTTCCCAACCTTACACACTGAGAATTGCTCATTTCAGTCATATATGACAACGGAAACCATCCAGTTCCTAATATTAAATAGATGAACCCAGGCATGTTTTAGTTCTTGTTCTTTACATTTTTGACTCCATCTGAATGTGGCGTCATTTTATTGCATGAGATCTGGAGTCCTGATCCTCTGCTCTTGGTCTGTGATTCAGCAGCACTTGCACCTTCCCACTATCTGTCTGCTGAGCAGGTGCAGCCCTGACTGACACTCGTTCAGAGCTGGAACTAGTGATTATTTCCATTTATTTCCATTTAGTCTGTTAGATGCCGAAAGCTTGTCTAATGTTAGTTTAATATCATTTGTGATAAATGTATCAATACCCCAATTTTTTTGCAAAGCTTAGACCCGAAAGTGTTTGGCAGTTTTGCTTCAAGGTGGCTGTTTCCAGATAATTTCCCATGAATTTATCAGCAGATATTTTCAACTCTACATGCATTCTTCGTCCTTGCTGACTCCATGTGGTGCAGGTCTCCTGATGCTATGTTTCAGGTTTATTGCACTGGTCAGTGATTCAGCACCACCACCTTCAGCTGCCTGCCAAGCAGATGTAGCCCTGAACGACATGCTTTACGATGAGGCAACACGGCAGTCATCTCCGCTCCGATACCGAACTGCAGAAACCTCCCAGGGCGGGGGTGTTCGGGGATACGTACGGAGCCGATTCGGGCTCTGGGATTTCGTCCTCATGCTAGCTGTGCTGCTTAAAAACAGAAAACAAACAAAAACAGCTGAGGCAAATTCTGGTTCCTCTCCTACCTTCACCCCCACACCCCACCCACCCCTTTAAATTCTGTAACAATTTCTGTATCTGTGCCTCTAAATCATCTCGTCATTCATTTTGCGAGTGTGCAGCGAGAGGAGGAGTGTGGCTGCCCGGGTTTGTTTCTCCCTCTTTGTTTGCTGTGGTAAACCCATGAGCAGCTGCCGGTGGTGGGGTCTGGAGGGATTCTGAAGCTGTGTGTCCTCTCTCTCGCTTTGCCATCCTCTGCCAAGGTGGCATTATGCGAGCAGAGAAAGGGGCAGAGAGAGGGAGCGGGAGACACAGAGGAGGTGAGGGCGGTGGGGTGAGAGGGAGACGAAGCAGTGGCGGCCATAGTAAAGATGGAGGCAGGCTGAGGGCTGTGGGGATTGGTGCAGGAGAAGGCTTGCTCCCCTGAACTTTGCCTCCGTGTCAGAGAGGAACTTGTCGATTTGGCAGATTGTGCAGCGTCGGACATGGCTGCGCGCTCCCTTACACTCCCACCTGCTCCCCCCACCCCCTCCTCACTCTCTCTCTCTCTCATTGCCACTACCCCCCCTCCCCTCCCTCCCCCCTTCCCACCCTCTCTCCTCTTTCTCTTTTCCCTCCCTTTCAGCTCTTGAAGCTAACGCATTGGCTGGGCTACAGGCATCTTGTTGCCAAATAGGTGGGCCCTACTCGTGTTGGCAAAGGCTCAAGCAATGGTTAGGGAAAGAACGCGGAGAGGACGAGAGACGGCGAGCGAGAAAGAGAAAGAGAGAGAGTTGGAGAGAAAAGGGGAAAAAAGAAGCAGCACTCGGCTTTGCCAGCGGTCGTATGCGCTCATCCAACATTGATTCGGCTCTCTGTTTTTTTTCCTCCCTATTCTGTGCTCTGCTCTCCCTGGCCCCCCCATCTGTGTGTGTGTTTGCGAGAGAGTGTGTGTGCATGCGCGCGCTCGTGCCGGGCCCGGGATCAGAACAGACACCACCACCAATTAGATTTTGCCAAGGATTTTTTTTTCCTCCGAGATTTTTAAAAAAAATTTGGAACTCACAAAGGACTGTTGAATTTTTGTTCTTTTTTTCGAATACATTTATTCTCGCTGTTAAAGTCTTTTTCTAATCATTTTTTCTAACATTTACATTTTTACCTGTTTATTATTTGTTTTGCTCCAACTTTTTGTCCGTCCTTTTTTGTGTCATTTTTGGCTTTTGTCTCAAGAACTGCTGGCTAGCGTCCTACTGCAGGACTCCCTAAAATCTTTTTTGGTGTGTGTGTGTTTTTAAACTTGAGCCCACTGTTTGTGCTCAGCAGCGTGTTCTGCAAATTTAAAAAAATTATAACCCTCCCCACCCACCCCAAGTTTTTTTTCTTTTCTTTTTTTCATCTGCTAATTCTCCACACCCTGCCAAAACCAGCGCTTGCTTTACATTGGGGAGCGCGGGAGGAAAGAGAGAAAAAAAACTGGTGCAGGAGATTTTTTTTCACTTTAAACGCTGTGCCAAATTTATGATGAGAGTGCAAAATGGTAACTACCAGGCCGTCTGTCTTCCTCTAGCAGTGTGGTTTTCTGTGGTGATTTCTGTCTGCTTTCAGTTTGTTGTGGAAATGTGAGTCTGGTTGGAGCTCCCTTTGCATGGTAGCGCAGATAGGAAATGGTATGGCTGATCTTTTAGCGGCACATTTCAACAGTGGTCTAGTGGCGGCAAAGCTTGGCGGTGGTGAGCGACCGGTGTGTGGCAACCCTGGCACAGGAACGCTGTGGCGAGATCTGGGCTTTGTTGCCCAGAGATATGTAGTGAAGGTATTATGGTACAGCAGAATAACTTCTCTTTTTACAGCAGGAAAAGCGGGAGTGCAACTTGGCTCAGTTTTTCATCTGAATTCGTGAACTGTCGTCTTTTCTTTATTGTCTTGAACGTTTTATTTTTGAAATACTTTGTGTTATACCTTTGCATGCTATTGTAAGGATGATTTTTCCTGGTTTTCCTGCATGCTTTATTTTTATTTGAGTCTGAATGTTGGAAATGAGAAATAATTTTAACATTTTAATGGCAGTTATTTGAATAGCTTTTTGATTTGAATTTAAATTAATTGATAATCATCAGAATTTTCATTATTCCAACAACATGTTTAGTATTATTAAACATTTTGGCATTTTCATTAAAAGTTTTAAAAAACCTCTAATTTTACAACTTAAAAAAAAAAAGAAAAGGCATTTAAAAAAAATAATTTTTTTACAGCCTCCTAACGCCGCATCTTTTTCTCTCTCATCAGGATGAATTTCATCCCTTCATTGAGGCCCTTCTCCCCCATGTCCGTGCCTTCTCCTACACCTGGTTCAACCTGCAGGCCCGTAAACGCAAGTACTTCAAGAAGCACGAAAAGAGGATGACCAAGGATGAGGAGCGCGCGGTGAAGGATGAGCTGCTTGGGGAGAAGCCAGAGATCAAGCAGAAGTGGGCCTCGCGCCTGCTGGCCAAGCTCCGCAAGGACATCCGGCCTGAGTTCCGCGAGGACTTTGTGCTCACCATCACGGGGAAGAAGCCCCCCTGCTGCGTGCTGTCCAACCCCGACCAGAAGGGCAAGATCCGCCGCATCGACTGCCTCCGCCAGGCCGACAAGGTGTGGAGGCTGGACCTGGTGATGGTCATCCTGTTTAAGGGCAGCCCCCTGGAGAGCACGGACGGCGAGCGTCTGGTCAAGTCACCCCAGTGCTCCAACCACGGCCTGTGTGTCCAGCCACACCACATTGGGGTGACGGTCAAGGAGCTGGATCTCTACCTGGCCTACTTCGTCCACACACCAGGTATGTGGTACCTGTAGAAGAACCGTTTTTCCCACCGTTTATGTGGTTGTTATACACACACATACACACAGGTCATGTGTTTTGTCACACACTCTTTGGCATGTAAGTCACAGATTAGACCCTGCCCTCCACTATGTACCAAGCTGATCTAGTGCCAGGCTTTGATAAACCCAGTCAGCACTGAGATAAAGACCACGTCTTGATATTTAAAGTCTGCAGCGGATAGTCCTAAAAAAAGTTTTCCTCTCAATGTTTCTATCTGGTTTAAAGAGATTCAGAGAATCTGACAGTCAGGCTTAAAACCTGTGTTTACCTAGAGATATGTTTGCATTGGTACATTTGTTCAAGTATTTGTGCGCAAATTTGTCTAAATCCAAATGTGCATGTTTTTCAGTGCCATCTGTAAACAAAAGCATCTGCAAACCTGTTTATCTGTGTGTGCACGCATGTGCACACGTGTGCGCGCACGACAGGCAGTTTGTCATGTGTCTGTAATCCATGTGTGTTGTGAGGTTGTTGTGTATCAGTAGCAGTGTGGTGTTTTTGTGGGTTTCTTTTGTGTGTGTGTGTGGTGGTCTGGAGAGCGCAGTGACAGCTGGCCCAGTCCCAGGTAGTTTAGGAGGCAGAGAGAGAGTCAGCCTGTCTGCAGCCTCAGCCTAACGCCACACACACACACACACACACACACACACACACACACACACACACACACACACACACACACA